GGGGCTTGGCTGCTGCCCCTAAGCTTTGTACTCAAGGCTAGTGTTCTACCACTTGAGCCACAGCTCTGCTTTTGGCTTTTTATGGTTAATTGGAGATAAAAGTGTCATGGACTTCTCTGCCTGGGCTGGCTTCAAACCATGATCCTCGGCTCTCAGCCTCCTGAGTAGCTAGAATTACAGGTGTGAGCCACTGGCACCCAGTTTCACATTTCTTTTCTAACGGACTATGGTAGAAGAGTCCAGCCTCAGTTTTCTGGCCAGTGAGAAGAATGTAGCAGGAATGTGACCAGCATGGACAGTACACTGCCTTGCTAGCGTTTGATGAGATTTAGCTGCTGACACTGATAAGGAAGGACTTGCATTTTGTCTTTAACGGCATCCAAACCATCCAGTTGCTCTGCTGAGTCAATGGTTGTCTGCATGGCTGTCATCCTAGTGAGGAGGGAAGCACAGCCAGGAGACATTGTAGGCTTGTATTAGCAATGCCTCATCTCCAAAATAGCCAGTGGGAAAGAGATGTACGGATTGCAGTAAAATATGATACAGTCATTAGAGCATGAAAATGTCGTCTCAAAAGACAAATTTGTGATTGGACATGGTTGTGTACACCTGTAATCCCAACACTTGGGCAACTAAGGCAGGAGTAGTTCAAGGCCAGCCTAGGCTACATATCCCAAAACAACAATAACATTCCAGGAAATGGAAACAAGGTGTTTTGGGGTTTTTTTTCCTTAAAAAAAAGTAACAATATTGAACATGACACAGTACAACTGTGTTTATAGTCCCAGAGGCAGGCTTTGCTGAGTCAGTCCAGGGGTTTGAGGTCAATCTAGGCAGGAGAGGGAGATGCTGTGTCAGAAAAGAAGAAAGCATCTTGTGGATGTAAGGTCCACCCTGAGAAGGCGGGACGACTCCTCCCTCCTCTTGGCTAAGTCTCCACCCAGTACCTGTCATCTAGGTAACTGGCACACCTGGAGGCCCTCCCCTTCCTCCCCCCCCCCCCAAAGTCTCATCCTGGGCTGCCCCAGTCACACCTTCCATCAGACTGGGAGGGGAGGCTCTGAGGTCAGGTCCAAATCCATGGTGCCATACCTTCCCTGATCACACCTTCTCCCCGCCCCCTTCCCTACTTAAGACTGGGCAAAACAGCTCTCTGGCCCCTTTGGCCGTGTGCTCTCTCTCCACCATGCACCGTGTGGGAAGCTGTACAGTAATACAATAAACTTCTCTTCCTGCCTGAATACCCTGTTCTCTTTATTGGCTACCTAATTAAATCTACCTATTTAATTGACCTTGCAGTGGATTTCGGCCAGGGAAGGCATTGTCATGATTAGGTGGCGCTAAGAACAGGAGAGTGACTTAAAGGAAAGGATGAATCAAGAGACATTTATAAGAACTGACACCTACATAAAAGAAAAAGAGGCAGGTGTTGGTGGCTCATGCCTGTAATCCTAGCTATTCAGGAGGCTGAGATCCGAGGATCACAGTTCAAAGCCAGCCTGGGCAAGAAGGTTTATAAGACTCTTATTTCCAAACCAACTACTTAAAAAACAGTCAGAACTACAAGTGGCTCAAGTAAAGTGCTAGCTAGCTTTGAATAAAAAGCAGCTCAATGACAGCACCCAGGGCGTGAACTCAAGCCCAGGACCACCCCCTCCCACCCCCAGCCCCCCCCCCAAAAAAGGCTGATGGAGGATCGTGAGCTCCAGGGCATCCTTGCCTTTGTAATGAGACCCTCCCTGTCTCTAAACACAAGACATAATGTGACATATTTACAGCCAGGGTTCCAGGCTCAGAGGTCAGAAGTGGTGAGGAGCGTTGGTACTTGAGTGCCTCTTCTGCTGGAGCAAGCCTCCGGCGGGCCCATGTGCCGGGAGTGCTGCGCCACGTTCCCTGACCGTGGGATGCGGTCAGAAAAGCAGACTGTGCAAGATGGGACTGGCCATGGTCAAGGGGCACGTGGGAACTGGGGTGCAGTAACTATGCCAGGCCTGCCCTGAAAAGTAAGCCAGGTCTCTGTCCTTAATTGTAGCCCTCGAACTTCGCATCCATTGAAGCTGAACTCATCTCTGTGGCAGAGCTATGTAACGTGGGATTTATACCATCAACGAATTAGCTTTTATTCATTACCCTCCTAGCAAGAACAAGGGATTTTTTTCAAGATTATAAAGTTATTTTCATAGGATAAATCACATGCTTTTAAGTTAGATTCAAGATGACCCTAAATGACCTTTTTACAAAGTTGAGGCAACATTTGCTTTGTGCTGAGACCTTCTCTTTGTCATGACATAATCTCTGGAGCATGGCAGCCACATGCCTGCCCTGGAAGTTGAACAAAGACGGGTATTTTTGAGATACGACATTAGCATGATTCTGTTTAGAAGCACTCTAGCATTGGCTTCCAGGGCCCACTGCTGTTGAAGTGAGGTGGGGGGGGGGTCAGATTGTCCCCGGGTCTGGCGCTTAGCAATGGGAAGGCACTGCAGAATTTCATGGGGGGCGGGGAGGTGGTGGCCCTTGTCTTGACTGGCCCTTAGGACTGGCATTGGGAGCTTGGGCGTGGTAGGGCCGAGGGGTGGGCACGTTGGGGTGAGTGGGAGGAGGAGGAGCACCTGGTGCTTGGGAGGTGGGCGCTAGTACCCCCGAGACTTGAAACACTTGGGAACCTCATGGAAAGGCTTTAAAGATGGACTTCGCCAATAAGCCACATTTAAGCATGAGAACACTCGATGTATTGTAACCAGGTCAGAATTCCTCTCTCAAGTTCATAAGGTCATCTTGTTGGAAGCTTATTCAAATGATCCCCAAGTGTAGTGAAAGCAATAGGCATGCATGAGGGGAGCAGGGACAGTGGCCGACGGTGAGCTTGGTTGAACACACCGGAAGCCTGTGTGGGAATAAGCAGTGTATGGACAACTAACCCAAGCTAATAAAAATAAACACAACAGTGGTGTGTATGAGACCAGAGGGGCAGATGCTGGCACTTCCTAGTCCTGCTTCTTCCCAGCTTCAAGCCTGTCGTCCCTAGAGAAGCAACCAAAACATCAGTGGAGGTTGCAGTAAATTGTGGTCTGAAGCCAGTGCTAGTGGCTCACGCCTGTAATCCTGGCTACTCAGGAAGCTGAGATCTGAGGATCCGTGTTCAAAGCCTGCCCAGGCAGGAATGTGTGTGAGAGTCTTAACTCCAATTAAAAACCAGAAAGTGGAGCTGTGACTCAAAAGTGGTAGAGTGCTAGCCTTGAACGAATGAGCTCAGGGACAGTGCTCAGGCTCTGACTGGCCCCAGCCCCATGACTGACCAAAAAAGAAAAAAAAAACAAATAGATAGATAGATAGTGGTCTGTCTACACAAAGCCTGGGCGGCCGCAAGGAAAACATATCACTCCTCACCACAGGAGTCCCATCAACACAGCAGCTCACATAGCTTAGAGACAATCCACCAACTTCCAAGGTGATATAGAGGGAGACGTGCGAAGTTGGAATGGCCCTATATAGCAGAGTGGAGGTCAGATGAGTCGAGTTGCAAGCAAGGCATCGCCGGTGCTTGTTCCCACACACCGAAGAGAATGAATACCAGTCCCCAGAAACTTTAAAAAAATAGACAATATTCCACGACTCAAATTTGTAAGGCCAATATGACTCTGAAGTCCAAACTAGACAAACAGAACAAAGACAAACTACATAGAGCACCACTGTCTCTTCTAAATCTGGATGTGAAATTCCTCAACTAAACACTAGCAAGCCAACTACAGTAGCTACAGTAGCATATTGAAAGAGTGCTGCTCCAAGACTAAGCAGAAGTGATCTCAGAATGCAGGTGGCCCAGTACTAATACCAGGCCAGGGGTTGGAGGCCTGGCACTAGAGGTAGAGCAACAGTCCAGGAGCAGAAGTGTCAGACTCCGAGGAAGACAACAAAAGTAACCAGTCAGTACCATATCAACAGATAAAGGCAAACACCCAACAAGCATCTCTTGAGTGAGTGCAGAAAAAGCATAACAAAGTCTCACTACATTTCATGATAAGGAACAACAATAAAAAAAAATGCCAACTGGCAGCATAAAGGAACCTCATCAGTAACGAACACCCCCACCCCAAGCTGGCTTGAGACTCATCTGATTCAAAGTCTGAATACCAGTATCTTTTTTGGAAGGCTCCCACCCCACAAGCAGCATGGCATATGTGGATGAGCAGCCAGGCGTTCAAGTTAGAAAGGAAGACGTGAAAGTTACCTTTAGATGATGCCATCTTACATGTAGAAAAGAAAGGAATCCAGAAAAGAAGTATGAGAGCTAATAAATCACATTCAAGCTTGTAAGGCCTATGATGTATATACAAAACTCAGCTCTCTGTACACAATCAATAGTCTGAAGGTAAAATTAGGAAAACTCCAAATATTTTTTGGTTGTCCTATGACTGGAACTCAGGGCCTCACATTCATTGCTTGGCTGGCATTCTACCACTTGAGCTACAGCCCCACTTCTAGATTTTGATGGCTAATTGGAGATAAAAGTTTCTTGGGCTTTTCTACTCAGGCTGGCTTTGAACTGTGATTTTTAGATCTCAGCCTCCCGAGCAGCTAGGATTGTAGACCTGAATGAACCACCAGCATCTAGCTAATAATTCTATTTGTAATAGCATACATACACATAAATGATTACTTATCAAAATATCAAAACGTTCTTGTTAGCAGTTGCAGTAAAAATAAATGCTTCACACAGATTGAAGGTATTTGTTTTTCATGTGCTCCTATGTAGTCAAAGGACAGATTGATAAATCCATCTTTGTGTGTTTAAGATTTAAACTAAAGCATTTTAGATTTGCTGTAGTTGGTCCCTGTTGAGAAACTACATTTTAGATTAGAGCTGAGTTTTTGTTCATGGGATACTAAATTTAGAAGATAGATCATTGGCTGAGAATTTTTGCAATCCTTTCCCTCCATAGCTGTGGTGAAAATCTTGTCCATAAATGTTAATCTTAGTATTTTTTGTTTGTTTTTAGTATTGTGTGCCAAGAACCTTGCAAAGAAAGACTTTTTCAGTAAGTAAACACTTACTTGTTTTTGTATTTCTGAAATCTTAAGCTTAAAAATCCTGTTGAGTACAGTCTCCTAAAAGTCTCCATCTCCCAGCTGATTGGGCAACACCTGCCCCTCCTCCCCCACCAGCCACACCTCCTCCCGCCCCGCCCTGGATGGACCTTTAGCCACACCCACTTCCCCATATTCCTGTGACTAGACACTAGGTCACTGACTGCTTCCTGCTGGCTGGAGGCTCTCCATGCAAACTCACATGACACACTTTTCTATAAAACATCTGCTTTGACTAAAATCATAAATCCAGTTTTACAAACAATCTCCTTTTCAAAACCCTGCAATTAAGGGAACTATAAAAATAAGGAAAACCTCACTCCTTAAGGTAAGAACTTCACCTACACTCAACAGCATAAAGTCAGGGCCAGCAGCATTCAGTCCTCCACACTTGCTGGTCCCCCAGACTCCTAACTTCAGTGGGATTACTCACACTCAGAGGATGAAGAGACTCGGCTCAACGGCTTTCTCCAAGTATCTAGAAAGCTCCCAGCTCCCTGCTCACCACCTGTCTGCCAGATTTCTGCTCCGATCAGTGCTTGAGGACTTGGGGTTAGGGCTTGGTGAAGGCTTGCTTCCATAGGCAAGACAGAGCGGCACCAGCAAGCAAGATTGCTGGGAGCAGTGACTTTTGAGGGTGTATACATACCTGTTCTCCACATAGTGGTCCTGCTACCATTAATAAGCTCATCAAGAGATGGGATGGAGCCTATTTCTTTAGTTGCCTTTCCGCTAAGAGTGAGGCCTACAGGTATCCCCTAGAAAGTTAAATGATACGCCTCCCTTGCTTTACTTTACTGGACAACTAGACTCCTGGTCTCATCTGGGCATCGCTGTCCTCTTTCCTTCAGGACTCCCTGACCCCTTCGCTAAGATTGTTGTGGATGGCTCTGGGCAGTGCCACTCGACCGACACTGTGAAAAACACATTGGACCCAAAGTGGAATCAGCACTACGACCTGTGAGTTGAACATCCTGCCCGCTATTTGGGGAGAGCTAGAAGCAGGGGCTGAGTGTTGAAGGAGAAGCATTTTGAAAAGAAAGGAAAACAGTGGATTGCAAACCTTTATTGAAAACAAAGTGGATGATGAGCTTGGCATGGGGGGCCCAGCGTGTAACCCCAGCTACTCAGGAAGCAGAGCCGTGAGGGTTGACAGTCTGAAGCCAGCTTGGGTAACTTAAAACTTTAAAAAGAGCCAAGACCCAGAACCGGTGGCTCATACCTGTAATCCTGGCTACTCAGGAGACAGAGCTGAGGATCATGGTTCAAAGTCAGCCTGAGGAGGAAAGCCCATGAGGCGCCTATATCCAACTAACCAGCAAAAATCCAGACGTGGAGCTATGACTCAAATGGTAATGTTAGCCTTGAATGAAAAAGCCCAGGGACAGCACCCAGGCCCTGAGTGCAAGCTTGCACTGTGAGTGCGTGCTTGCGCGCGTGTACCCGGCTGAGGGTATAGCTTAGTGGTGTCAAGCACTTGCCTGGGGAGCCCTGGGCTCAATCCTCAGTACTAGAAGAAAAATATATATGGGCAAATGAACACATATTGCCTGATCCTTCTGTTCCTGTACTTGGCAATGTTTGCCTTTGACATTCCCATAAATATTTGTATTGACATGTACCAAATTGTCCACAGAGAGGGAAGTCATCATGACATTCCCATACATACACATAATGTGCTTTGATTGTATTCACGTCTACACTTCTCTGTCTGATTCCCCATCTCTCCTCCCCCACCTTCTTCCCCATCCACCTCATTTAGTTAGTTAGTTAGTTAATTTTGGGATTTTTCTCCCTAACTTAACTGAACTCAAACTTTTCCTTCCCATAATCATTTTGGCAGAAAGAAGGACTGAAGTTCGTGTCTCTGACATGCTGTGTTTTCACTGAAATCTTACCTAAAACTACATTATTATGACCATATTTCTTTTTATTCTTTTTTTGTGTTTGTTTTTATGATAGTGGTGTTTGACTTCCTGGCCTCCAGCTTACTAGGCAAGTGTTCTATCACTTGAGCCATGCATCCCATCCCTTTGGGTTTTAGTAGTTTTTTTTCAGATAGGGTCTTGTAAGGCTTCTACCCTGGCCAGTTTTGACCTGTGAGCTTCCTAGCTGTACTCTAGTACTAAGCTGGGATTACAGGTGAGTACTGCCCCACCCAGCTTATTTTCCAGATAGGGCCTTGCTAACTTGCCTGAGCTGTCCTCCAACCATCCTCCTATCTCTACCTCCTGATTTCTTTTTTCTGTTTTAAAAAGCAATGTTTATTTTTTATGTTTTTGATTGTAAAAATACTGTACAGAGGAGTTACAGTTACATGAGTAAGGTAATGAGTCCATTTCCTATTGAGCATTGTTACCTCCTCCTTTGTTTGTCTCCTACCATCCCTTCCTTCCTCACCTCCCCAACTCCTCCCTCCCCCCAGCCGACATTGTAAAGTTCATTTTCAATAGTGTGTTGAACATCTCAGTTAGAACGGGTCTACTTGTACCCTTAGTTAAGCATTTTGTTATTTCCTTTCCCCTCCCCAAATTAGAAAAATGTATATGCAAGATGCAGGGCACCAGAATCAAACACAGTGAAAACAGGAGTTATTCTGTGGAGGAAAAGCATACCAAAAAACCCAAAAAACTCACATAGTACATTATAAATATGTTAAAAACAATAGCAAGAAAGAAAAAAACCACTTGTGTCCCTATCTTGGGGTTCACTTCACTTAACATCATCTTGTATGATCATATATACATAGCTTTTGACCTTTTTTGCTTGTCCTAGACATATACTAGTTATTGTAAATAAGGGAAACCATGGGGCCTGTGTTTCTTTTGTGATTGTTTTCTTAATGTTGTTTTAGTACAGAATTATTTTCTATAGGAGAAAACACATTTTGCCTAGCCAAACATACTTAATCTCGCAACAACCAATTTTATATATTCCTCCAAAACAGTGGATTGTACTTTGGATATTGCACTTTATAGACCACTTTTCTTTCATAGCCATGCTTGCAGATTTTCGTCAAAGTAACACTGTGTGACTAGTGATTTTATTATGAGATTTCCTTTCAGTGACACGCAAGGCCCCAGAAATGGCTTGGAAAGTGGTTACCAGTTTTTGTCCTGCCAGTTTCCTGAGTAGCTGCTTGTGGGTTGGTGTGCTTGGGGTGGAGTTGTATGTTTCTAAAGAGTCCCTTGTTGCAAATTGATTGGTAGCAGCATGGATGTTACTGTCGTGCGGAAGTTCTAGAACACAGTAAACCTCAGCCCCATCCAGCTGGAGTGCCAGCATTATTTTGTGCAGCTTCTTAAGCCTTGCGGGATGGAATTGAATGAAACGGTTCTAACTCACAGTCATGAGCTTGACATGACTTGCATGTTCTGTGCAGATACGTTGGGAAAACAGATTCTATAACCATCAGCGTGTGGAACCACAAGAAGATTCACAAGAAGCAGGGAGCGGGCTTCCTGGGCTGTGTGCGGCTGCTTTCCAATGCCATCAGCAGATTGAAAGACACTGGCTGTAAGAAGCAGCGCCTCCCCGCCCACCTCAGCGCAGCTGCTTTCCTTTCCTTTCCTTTTCTTCCTTCCTCCCTCCCCTTCTTTCTTCCCTCCTTCCCTCCCTCCCTCACTCCTTCCCCCCCTCCCTCCCTCTCTCCCTCTCTCTCTCCCTCTTTCTCTCTCCCTCTCCCTCTGGTGTTGGTCCTTGTGCTTGAACTCAGGGCCTGGGAGCTAGCTGTTCCTTAGCTTTTGCACTCAAGACTGGCGCTCTTTTACTTGAACCATAGCTCCACTTCCAGCTAAAAAGCTGGTTAATCAGATTGGTGCCTGGCTTTGTAGTTCTCCTTTGGTTTTGTCTTGCTTTTTGAATGCTGATGGCTGAATCCCTGCCTTTCTCCCTAGAGCCCTTCCCTTGGGTAAAGTTTTGCATTGTTTGTTTTCAGACCAGCGTTTGGATTTGTGCAAACTAAATCCCTCAGATTCTGATGCAGTTCGTGGCCAAATAGTGGGTAAGAGTCTTCTCATCTGTCTAAAGGCTGCTCTTAAAGAACCTGGCTTGCTCTCCACCTCTGAGGCTGACCTCCTCCCCCCGGCAGGCACAGGTGGCCATCTCCGCCTCCACCCTTCTCCTCTCAGGGCACTTTATCCATTAATCCAAGGAGTGAATAAGGCTCTTCTGCAGAAGGGCTCGGGCGAATGGGTGGTAAGAAGAGTGGCCACCTGTGCGGGAGTGCGGCAGGTTCCTCGGGCAGCCGCATTGTCTATGGACAAGATCCTCTGTAATGAAGACCCGGCACTGTGAGAGTCAGGGTTACAGTGTTGGCTGGAGGCATTTCAAGGACGGGGCTGCCCTGTCACCTAGCGCATCCCATTGCTGACCCTGCCAGGATTCTAGGGGAATGCAGGGGACTGGAAATGTCTCATGGCAGCACAAGTAACTCTGTCACTGGCTTGAAGCAAATGCATGGAGTGAACCCATCCTGAAAATGATGATGAAGAGGGCCCCACTTGTCTTCCACCTGAGCCTTATCCTTCCTGTGGAGGGGTGTGCTGGGGGTGGGGAGAGGGCACGGGGCAGGGGACCAGCTTTATGAACATCTCTGCTCATAGAATTCAGAGCATAAATATTTAGTCCGATCTTCACTTCTGGACCTGCAAGTTCTGTATGTCCTTATGAAACCTGAGTCACAGCTTCTTAAGGCATTGGCGCCTTAGAAGCATGAGAAATGCGGCACCTTTCCAGAGCTTCCCCAAGTGGTAGTGTTGCGCTGCTGTGGGGAGATCAGAGGGCACACGTGGATTTTGCCGCTGCCCTGGATGCTAATGCACACCACTGTTCTCTTCTAGTCAGTTTACAGACGCGAGACCGGATAGGCACTGGAGGGTCAGTGGTGGACTGCAGGGGACTGCTAGAAAATGAAGGGTATGTATACCACCGCTGGCCACGCTGACCCCAGCTCCTTAGGAATTCTCTGCTCCTTAGGCTCTCGGCCTGTGTCACAAGATGCATTCACAGGCTTCAGGAGAAAACTCGATCCAGCCTGTATATTTAGAAAGGATCCAATTTAGGAAGGCTCTCCCCAACCAGAGCTGCGACAGGTTAGCCAGGTATAGTGGTGCATGCCTATAATCCCAGTACTCTAGAGGGTGAAGGTAGTAGGGTCACATGTTTGGGGCCAGCTTGGACAACACAGTGAGATCCTATCTTCCTGGCTAGCCTCCCCCGTGGCCCCTCCCCCAGCGGCGTTTGAGCATCAGCAAGGATCTTTAAAATCTATTGAGGGGCAGGGCTAAGACACTCTCAGTTTCACAATCCTTCGTCAACTGATGGATGTAGGCAGCAGTCCTTAGTGCCTGTTACCAACGTCACAAGAGATGGCAGGGCATTTATGCCACTCTTGTTACCGAGTAGGGCAGATAGCCCAGTGTCTTCAGTGCACTGAAAGATTGAGAGTCCAAAGGAAAGACGGAGGACCTAAATCAGAAAGAAAAGACTAAGACCTGCACCGGACGCCAGGCATGGACTGTGATGGTCACATCAGAGACAACTGGAGAGAGCTGAACAGACTGGGACTTGAGGGTCTCCTTTCAGACTGGAAGAATGAGCTTGGGCTCTCCTGAGCCCGGTGGGGTGCCCTCTGGGATTCAGGCAGCGCTGCCCGCTGTGCCTGTAACTAGCATGCAGGGCGGGGAAGACTGGTCGCTCTAGTTCCCCAATTTCTGTATGTGTTTGAACTTCAATATCAGAATTTTTTTTTAAGCATTTGCTTAATAAGAGAAAAGGGTCCATGAAAGTCTTCAGAATTGCCCAGGGAGCAAAGATTCATGTTTTAAAAGTACTTAGACTCATTGTGGCTTGCTACACAATAAAATAGTGGACTGCTTGGGTTTGATTTGAAATCAAGAAAAATTAAATATTATTTTACAATCCCCTTTATAGTGCGGGGTTGTTGGTGGTTGTTTTTTTGTTTTTTGGGGGGTGGGGTTCCACTCTTTATATTTGAACTCAGGGTCAGGGGGTCTATCCTAGAACTTTTTTGCTCAAGGGTAGTGCTCTGCCACTTGAGTCAAAGCTCCACTTCTGGCTTTTTGGTGGTTAATTGGAGATGAGTCTCCTTAACTTTCACCAGGCCAGCATTGAGCCTTGATCACAGATCTCAGTCTCCTGAGTAGCTAGTATTATAGGTGTGAGCCACTGGTGCCCCGCCAGGGTTGGTGTTTTTCTCCAGTGTTGGGTTGAAGCCAGGGCCTCACTTTGATAGGCAGGTGCTCTAACACTTGAGCCACACCCCCCCCAGCCCCTTTTTGCTTCAATTTTTTAAAATTTTTTTTTGTGAACATACTGTACAGAGGGGTTATAATTACATGGGCAGGATAATGCGTACATTTCTTATCAAGCATTGCAGCCTCCGCCTTTGTTTACCCTTCACATCCCTTCCCAGCCTCCCCCCCTACCCCCCTTGCTTCAGTTTTTTAGATGAGATCCTCCTGTTTTTCCCAGACTGGCTTTGGATTTTGATCCTCCCATCCATGACTCCCATTATTTAGCTAGGATTACAGGTGTGCACAATTGCCTGGCTGGTGGGTGGAGATGGAGTCTCCCTAATGTGTTGCCCAGGCTAGCCTCAAATGGTGAGCTTCCTGGTCTGATTCGGCAAGAGACAGGAAGTGCTGTTGGTCTTTCCAGCCAGCCAGCACTACCCTAGGCCGCCCCGACGCCCTCTGGCCACCCGCCTCCCTGTCTCCTTTTTCTTTCATTAAAGCACTTGAGCACTGATTGTTGAAGAAGACGGAGTGTGCGTGACAGCTTGTGGGGACCTGAAGGTTCTAGGGAGTGTGTCTAGGGACACTCAGTTTCCATCTTGCTGCACCGTTTGTTCCAGAACGGTGTATGAAGACTTGGGGCCCGGAAGGCCGCTGAGCGGCCTCATGGAGGAGCCGGCCCCGTACACGGACGGCACCGGGGCGGCGGCAGGCGGTGGGAACTGCAGGTTCGCGGAATCCCCGAGTCAAGAGCAGAGACTGCAGACGCAGCGGCTGCGGAACCCCGAGGTGCGCGGGTCGCTGCAGACACCCCAGAACCGACCGCACGGCCACCAGTCGCCAGAGCTGCCGGAAGGCTACGGTGAGACCGGGCTCCGCCCTGGGGTCCGGTGTCCCCGGGGCCGGGGAAGGCTGGGGGAAGGTGGTGGCCAGCCGGTGCCCCGGCCTCGGGTGAGGAATGCCACGGAGGAGCCAGGCGGCAGGCGGGCCTGTGATGTCCGTGGGCAGCGGGGAGAGGGGCGGTCGCGTGGCCTGTGCTGCAGCGAGGCCATCGTTTTGTGGGGAGCTGGTGGCGGGGGAGCAAGGCCGTCGCCACCCCGGCGCAAGCTAGCCGTCCTGCGCCGAGGGCAGCCGTGGAGCTCCGTGCGCGGCCCCGCGCGCACCAG